CCACCGTTGCCAAGTTCTGTGGAACGTGAATAGGAAGACCTCTTGGCCTGACTAGTGGATCAATGAGAGTATTAGGAGGAGGGGCTGCACTCCCTTCATCGTCAATCATGATGGCAGATTCTTCAACATGCCTCTGACTGTCAGATTTTACAACCACTTTTCTTTGCGAGTAATTCTTGGCTGACTTTTGATAACATATGCCTGCAGAGTCACTATTCTCCACAAGGCTATTAGTTTTCTCTAAAACTTCTAACAAAGGCTCATCAACGGGATCTACATTCAGACATATCTTGAGTTTGATTTCTTCCTCGGTTTCTTTATGGTCATGTGTTTTCTTCCTGCGTACGGTTTTTTGCAGTCGTGGCTCTAGGTTTGGTTTTTGCGATCTTATTCTATTCTGCATTTACTAAGCGCATGTCTAATAATGCACGTGATAATTGTCTAAATCATGAAAATAGAAAGACCACATGCAAGCCACCATAAAACAATATTTGCAACCACTCGATAGCCTAAACTACGTGCAAATTTGATACTACATCAATGTTCAATTTTTGGAAAAGAAAGACAACACAGTTCTGCAACCTCCCGGCTGACTCTCACTCAGGTTTACCTCAGATGACTTTTCGGTTGCTCATCATGGGTCTAGAAAACTAGGATTCCTCCTCATACTCATAGCCCAAACACCCTTTCACACAATCTCTCAAGGTATCACTCTAACTCACACACACATTGACACTCCAAGGTACTGGAAATTCGTCACTCTTTCATATATGAAACAAGTCTTTACATATGAACTTTCCAAACTTGTTTGATAGTCTCTACTCTACCTCTCTATATAAACTACTTGAAAATTTACCATAGTAACAAATAATAATTTCCATATAATTTACTTTTACAAAGATAAACCATAGTAAGGTTGACTAGTTATCAAAATGTGGCAACATGCCATTAGCCTCCTAATTAGTAAACCTTCTAGATGTTTACTAATTCCTAGATTGAGGTGGCAACATGCTATTTGTGACTTTCTAGCTTCTAAAACTTCCACTTTCCACTAAGTCAACATTAGACTTAGTCTAACCAATGGAGTATTCTTTACTTAATCAAACTAATCAAAATTAAATATGAAGTCAAAAAGTATTTTTTCTTGGAATCTAGACTTTTGTTCAGGACAAAATAGAAGTGCTCACTCAAATTTTCTAGAACTTCCCTAGTTATTTTGCCAAGTATAGACATTATGGCTAAACTAGCTAGATTTAGTCATAACTATCATAACCATGATTAACTTCTTGTCTAATTCTAGTTCTAGTTCACACATACAACATCAGGTCTTACAGATCCTGAGGGAAGTAAAAGATGGTGCCGCATGGGAAAGAAATTGGAATGGCGGCACCTTCAATTCACACGAGTTGGGCAGACCGTTGCGACGGCGGGGTACACCCGAGGGAATGTGAGTCTGGTTTCCATAGTTCACGACACATTATTGCAATTGACAAGAGATTGGGGAGCGGAAGCTCGAGCGAGAGGAAGTAGCTATGAGACGTTCGATTTGATTGACTTGTCTGAGAGTTCCTAAGACAAGATTGAGAGATTATCATTGTGACTTGATCTTCGTGAAGATGAATTTCTTGCTCTAAGGCTGGAACTGTATGAGTGCAGCGATAGTGCAAGAGCGGGACAATGGTGGCTTACCAAAGCCACCAGGCTATTGAGGATATCCTGAGATTTGGCAAACTTGGTATTGGAAGAAAGTCTTGGGACGTTGCGCAGGAGACCTTACCTTCGACAGTGAGAGTATCAAGGTAACACGAGCAGAAGAGAAGTCCTACGCAGCTTTGTTTAAACACCCGCGCAACGGAAAGAATGGATATCGGACCATTTGGTATAACGATTGGTTCAGAAGAAATGTGGCGATGGCGTTAATGCAGATACTTTGACCTGCTCGGACCACTTATATGATGACTTGGCAGGTTGGGTTTGTGGAACAAGCATTGCGAGGAGATCGTATTCATTGGGCGCGCATCTTCTGGACTGCTACTTGGCAACACATTGGGCTACTTCCAGAGGATCAGCAAATTGCTTGTCCCCGTTCTTGATCAATTTTTTTAGGGGTATGGGGTTGTTAACTGCTGAAGAGAGGAGGGAATTCCAAATGCGAACTCATGCGCAGGAAGGAGAAGAGGTTATGAGTGCCAATGAGATCAATACGGATCTAGAGGACGAGCAGATTCGCTTGCCTCTATAGAGAACAGAACGACCTAAGGGTAAACAGGAAGAACGACCACGGAAGAGGAGGACTCAGGAGGCCGCTGTGTCTGAAGAACGTGCACGCCGGACAGCTCCCATCAAGTTGAGATTGCCCAATGCTCGGGCTAGAACAAAGATGAAAGCAAGAAGATTGATACTGGAAGTGGACAGCAGCACGGAGAGTAGCGAGGGTGTCCCTATCCAGAAGCGGGAACAGAGTTGAACGTAGAGACTGTGGTGGGAGAGAAGGAAGCACCAGTGGAGAAGGACCTTTGGACTTCTGCGGTGAGCCCTACGCCAGTAGTGTCACACCGGGCTATGAGGATGTAAAAAAGTAAAGCTATCATGACGGAAGAAGTAACTCCAAAACGGGATCAGGTTCCTTCAGCGGGTATTAGGATGAGGGTTCCTTTGGAAAGGCCAGCTTGAAGTGTTGGCAGTGTCATCTGACTGACTACCAAAATCTTTTATGGTATCTTTAGCTAAGATATCATCGAGTGCTCAATATGAAAGAAGAGTCTCAATGTATGTTCTACATTTATCATTATGATCATCACCTCAAAAAAATTTGACATTAGATTGTTCATGTAATCTCGCAGTTTTCTGTTCATTAGACTTGACCTAGGATGTCATGAGCTGGAACTACACATAAACTTCATAAAATAAAACACGGTGGGAGTGGATGGGCTGAGATTAGAAATAGATTGTGATCCTGACAATCTGTAAAATTTTTAATAAATACAATCTCAAGAGATGATATTAAAATGAGAACAAATATCAGAATCCTCGATTTCTTAATGCTTAAAAAGCACAATTGCATGTCAAATTAAATCTTGTTTCATCTTATGTGACTGAATTAGAACGAGCGTAGTTTACTATCAAAGTTAAACATCAGGTTGAAATATATCAGCTTCATGTCTGTCATTTGGCAGATAACGCTGCATTGTGATCGAATTGTTTCCATATCAGTGATTGAATTTGGGTTGTTTGCAAAAAGTCGGCCAACATGGTGGAACCTATAGAATCCGGTAGTGCTTCAAATAGGGAAAAAAATGAGATATATGACCTCTCCTTGATTATTAATCATTACATCGGGTGCAAATATTTCTAGACCCTGGAGCTTGAGATGAAAGCAGATGTTCCGTCCTCGTATTTTGTGAGGATGATTGACAAATTTGAAAAATCAGACAGACATCGTGATGGAAATCATTCCTCGATTCACGTGCAGTGTCTGGTACTCTACACCATACTCACCACTTGCAATACTGGATTAATTTATACCCTAGTGCAGATTATAATAACGTACGTTTCCTAAAATACAACTTCCTGAGGCGACAGGTGCCATGGTATGAGACACCTCGGGAATCTACACATCATATTATTTGGATTTTGATATGGATGACGATGCTGAAAGGAATGAATGCATGTCATCTTCGTAGGGAGCCAGTGACTCCTCATTTGCAATTTACACTCAACGGCACACATGAACCAACTTTGTTTTCTGTCTGGTTCAAATATTAGGTTGTTTGAGGTTATTTGCAGTGAAGGTCATGATGAATTGCAAAAAAAGCCGTAAATTGTGGCCGTTCTCTACAACTCGGAAGTAAAATTTATTATTTCAGAGATATTGGCAATGGAGAGTGTTATCACCATCCGTCTTTTATCTCTCTCACGTTTACATATCAAAAATACAGATGGAGGTAAGGTATAGAAAAAGACAGCTTTGTGGAATCGATGTCGTTGTGCTGCTTGCTAACGCAATCTTTGATAACCAAAAGCTTATATAAGTTCTCCAAGTTCCGGTATTTCATGATTTCAATGGCCCTGAATGTAGTCCATGAGTTGGTCAGAACTAACGGTTCGACCATTTGATGACCACTTGTGTGATGAAGCAGGAATCAGCCACAGCGCTCAGTAACTGATGCAATTTTCTTCGTGTCGCTGATGCCTGTCGGTCTTTGTCTCGAACTAAAACCTAGTGCTAAAGTAAACACTAGTCTGCACAATCCCAACTCACTTTCGATTCTCACAGACTTTCACGTTACTCAGCCATTCAATGGTACCAGCACACCATTCATTGAATATCTTTGATGTCCACCAAGCGGCAAAGCTGTAGCTGTATAAGCTGTGATCCAGCTAGAGGACTCTGCGTGCATGGCCGTCCCAGCCAGATGAATATCAGTGGACCCTCGCTGCATTAATCTTTTCGTGACCAGCAGCCCCTTGATCCCATGCTTACTGCAGGTTCGCATGTGCACGCTCAAGTCGCAGAAGAAATTTCACGATCTGTCTGAATCTTTACCTGTCAGAATCTTACTCATAACAGGGAAAGACACATACTACTCGCGAACCCACATTTCCAACAGTCCATTCTCGCAAGAATAAGAGTTTTGAAGAATGCTTTGCACGAGGACTGGTACTGCAAGCTACTTCGGACCAAGGCACGATTCTTGCGATTGGTATCACCATTCAGGAGCAATTGTACGACCTTTTATAATATCATCATATCAGGAAACGAAGATGTCGGAGGAAAGTCAGCTGGACATGAATCTGTAAAAGTCAAAAAGTCTCTCAGCGTTAGAATAGTGAGAAGATGAAATTGGGGGTTTAGCGTCACAACAAGATCGACTTGGACCTTGCTTCAGTGGGCTGAAGCAAGGTCCAAGTTTGAAGTGATCCATCAGATACTATCGCAAGGAGAAAGTTCCATAAGATATTGCGTAATACATAAGACGTCCAGCAGCTATGTTCCCACCTCTTGTTGTCAAGATCATCACCGAACAACTGAAAGATTATAAAAGCATCTGTCGCCAAATAGTCTTAGAAGAGCTTGGCGGCAGGAGTGATCTGTCATGAGCTCTGGTTCAGAATGTTGGAGCATCAGCTCTTTCAAGAGGTATCACATCTTCATGTTCATCCAAGAAGTCTTCAACAGAAATCTCTGGAGAGAGCTGGGATCTAAACTATGCTGCCCACGTCTTGCTCTTCAAGGCTCGGGCTTGTATAAAACCATGGATACGTATTTGGATCGAAAGCGGTGGGTAGAACCCAGGCAGCTACACATTCCCGGACCCGGAATCCTGTGGGCTTAGATGTCTCTGAACATGTGATTGACAGTGGCATAATGAGGTGCAGCAATTACACTCGGTTCCCCTTCCAGATGCACGGCATTAAGCACCTTGGTGGACAAATGTGGGGGTGGCAACGGAGGTTCTCTTCAAAATCCTCCGAGGTAAAAAAGTCGCAAGTGTAATTCGATCTCAGCGACTCTGGACCCTGATTGAGAATGGCGAGTCGCGTACTCAGAAACGCGTCTACAGATCGTCTCAATAGAAAACCAGTCAGATGCAATATTCCATCAATGTTGAACTTTTTACTGAGCAGAGTTTGATATACAGTTTGCAACTAGGAACCAGCAGCTTGAACACAAAGTTATTGTGAAACCTGATGATACCATCTAATGCAAGCAACTGTTTCTGAACTAGTACCCGATTTGCCATCCATGTAGTTCCTAATCTCGTAAATAGGAGATAAGGAGCTCCAAGCTGTCAGTCATACAGTTTAAGTGGTCGAACTGAAACGAACATAGATGTTAAGAATTTTTATGACATCATCTACCTTGAGAAGATAATTTTACAATTCAGTTTCAATAAGATCCGAATTGAACGAACGAACTGTGATCCTACACTGTAACCTCAACTGAGACGGAACGTGTGTTTCACCTCATCACGTTCGAAAACCTCCAGTTCATGGTGAATATTCAAATACACCTCATCTTGATAAATGCAATTTTTATCCAATATGAAATAGTATTCATATCTCCCGGGCAGTAACATGAGGACGAGATAGCATCCATATGCGTCGTGAAGCATAGTGTTCCTGCCAGCGAAACAGAAATGAGATCAATCAAGAAAGGTCAGCAACAGCAGCATTTTTTGTTGTACGAAGAGAAGTTCCATTGATAAGGCCGCAGGTCATCTCAAGCAGAAATCACTCACATTTAGGTTAATAATTCTTGGTGATTACAAATTGAGAAACAACAAATTTATAACAAGCATATGTTTTAATGCGACAATAATTGAATATATGGTATTGTTTCTGTATTCGTGAAATCAGATTTTTACTATCATGTTCTATTTTTGTTAAAATTAATTGCAAGACGAACAGAGTAAAGCATCTAAAGTTTCTTACGCTGAACCTGGACGATTCATTAAGGTCAAGTTGTCAAGACGAACTCGCGGCGAAAGTATAAAAAATAAAAGATATAAGAATAAAAGCTTTGAGCAAAGACACGATTTGCCAACGAAACCTACTCTCACCCATTGGATCAGCACACTTACCGTTGCTTACATGTGAGATCGGTATCTCATTCCAGTGCAAAGAATTATGCTCCGAATCCAAAGAATCAACAAGTTATATGGATCGATGTCGAATTCACTTACAAGTATAACAGATGTCTGTAGAGGTGCATCAACCCAATATAGAGCCTAATATTTTATGCTAACTACCAAAAAAAATGTGCATGAAAAATCTTGAGCGTGCAAAGCGAAGTGACTCGGAATGTTCATCAGAGAAAGTCCAGCTCATGGCTCTATGGAAGGAAGCAGGAGCCGAAGAATCAAAATCTGAATGATACCTTTGAAACTAAAAGACGAAAAGCTTCACATGTTTCCTTTCTGCCCGGCCAAGAATACAGCCTATCGCCTAATCCTTCAGATGCTTCGAAAGAGCACATTGTTAACGGAGGATGTGAAGGTGATTAGACTTCCACTCTTGCACTACAGAAATTCTTCCTGTAGTGCAACTGAAGACGAAGAGCTTAATGCCTCGATCATCCTACCCTGACAGTAAGACCTCATAATACCCACCTACTGTTCGAAAACTTTCGAGAAAGAAAGAATCGCCCTCAGATTTTGAGCCCTGCTGCATACTGACAGAAGGCAGCCTCGAGAATCAGAAGAACAGTAAGAGGATCTAGTATCCGCCAAAAGCTCACGCACGGTACAATCAAAAGGTAACATGTAATCCATGTACATTTCTTTCAGCGATGAAAGACATCCATACACTGCACTCTCTCCTTTCCAACTCGCCATCAACGTACAAATAAGTCCAGCAAGTATTGTCAAGAAAATGCTTTAGCAAGCCAACAAGCAATTGAATAGGCGATAGAGCATCAGATGCACCAAAATCTGAATGATGATTGGAGATAGCGAGTCGTTCACCGAAAAATATAACCTGTTAGGTGTGATACTCCTGACAGTCCACCTTTCCTCTTCTATTGCTGTGCTCCCATATTCTATTGCAGCGGTCTCGTATCGTCCATTCATTTGACGGTACCATGGCACAGAGCTTCTACAATATATGGCCTCAATGCGAAGCAAATCTTTATCATTTGAAATGATAAAGATTTCAAAAAAGTTTGAAAACATTAATTTCTAAAGATATTAAAACTATTTTTCATGTTATTCCAAATAATATTTTATTAGTTCGCAAAATTTTGTGAATTATAATAATTTTGATAGATAATATTGAATATTGCTAGAAGAGATTGAGTTGCATCGCATTTCAAGTTTAGCAATATTATCTATTTCTACATATTCACTAACATAGTACCATCTAAAGTTAGTACACTCATGAAACATTCTTAAATTTTTCTCTTTCTCATCATCTAAAATCTTTCCATGAACTATTAGAATATTATTTGAAATAACATGAAAATAATTAAGAAATGGTTTCAATACGTTTAGAAATCATTGCTTTCAAACTTTTTTTTGGAATGATTTTTTTTGTTGTCGGCGGCACTCATGCAATCTTCTGAGGTTGTCTCCTGCAGGCTCACATCATGCCCTCCCTCCCACTCGACCTGCACATGTCCATCATCGCTCAAGATTTCCACTCTATTCTGGTCACTGCTGTCGAGAACCCTGCAGCGTCCAGTACGCGAGGTCGTACCTTCAGTAAGTTTGGGCACAGGCATTCTCGGCATCGACTGGTTGTTGAACGCAGGACATTCGGTCGTCATGTCATGTCTTTAATGCTGATCATGGAGGGTCGCCCTGACGATGGAATGGTTTCCTTCCGGTCCTGCACGCATATCACTCCACTTCAAGGCTTATCGACCTACGAGATCGATATTGTTATCTTCGAACCTGGTTGCTCCAGTATAGATTGCAGCTCAGATGAGAAGATCGAAGATGCGTTGTTGTCTGCTGCAAATAAGGCGGACGTAGTGATTCTTGTGATGGGACTCGCCCAGGACCTTGAGAGAGAAACATTCGACCGAAACAGCTTTAAATTTCCTGGAAAACAAGAGCTGCTCGTATCATCCGTCGCAAATGTCTCAAATGGTCCAGTTGTGTTAGTGCTAATTTGTGGAGGACCCCTGGACATATCATGGGCAAAAAACGACTCCAGAATACAGAGCATTTTGTGGATGTGTTACCCTGGCCAGGCAGGTGGTCTAGCTTTAGCCCAAATAATATTCGGTGACAGAAATCCAGGTGGGTTGACAAATGTTTCAGTGAGACTCACAAATGAAGCTCAGAACAAAAGCTGTAGGTCAAAGCCACATTTGAAACTTCAAATAATGCCCGTAAAGTAACAATTTACAACAGCGAAGGACCTATCCTGACCTCCGTTTAATCTCTTGTTTCTTTCTGGTTCCAGTTGGGAGGCTGCCAGTGACATGGAGCCCTGAATCTTTAACCGACTGGCCAATGACATGTATGAACATGCGACCGAACCCGAACCTTTTCGATCTTCACATATCTTTCACCACCAAATTAACGTTTTAGAAATGTCCACTTCAATTGGATAGGAGCCACATGGTTCTGGAATGATAACTAACATTACACAGTTCATTTCTATCATTTACAGTCAGCTTCAAAAATTCCTTCGCATCAACACACTTGCAACAGGATGACCTATACTCAGGCCGAAAACTTACTGATCAGCGGAACATCCCTGAAGCTCCTCTTGACGGACGGACGCACTTCTTGCTCGTGCTTGACGTTTGCAACAGGAGGATTATAGAGGCATCTTAGACAAGGACGCAAATAAGACAGCAGACCGATTCCCTGAATTTGTACAATTTTTGAAGTACTTGTTCCTGATATCATTCTATTCTGTCCTGCAGAAAAATTCCTCTGATTCTGTTCAACCATTCTTTGACAGGAAGGCAGATCTTGCGGAAGTCGATGAATTCCGATATACTGCCGGTACTACTTGTTGCAAATTGGGCTTACAGACACCAATTCTTTCTTTCATATGAAGCAGTCTTTACGTTCGTAAGTATAAGTACGGAAGCAGATATCGATAGCTTGAAGCACCTCTGCGCACCGCAACTTGTTCAGTATCTGACCTGGACAACGTTTGACTGTGGAAAAAATGTCAAAGATTTCAAAACGTTATTTCGTGTCCACTTTCAGCGTGTTGAAGAACTTGAATTTGAAAAAGATTAGTTTTCAAAATCAGATACGGAAGGAAGTAGACGTATGTATCCTTAGATTGCAGAGTTCTAACCTCGTTCTCCGTATGTGAAAGTCTCCGACACTGTAAGGGAGTCTCTTTGGTCGCTTCGGAAGTCCCAATTACGACAAGAGAATTCCTACAATAACATATTTCCCTGGGCTGCAGTTTGCTCCGTGAGAAGGAATTGCTTGTCATGTGGAGGTATGTATTCGTAGGTCATTCAGACCTGCTTGCAATCGAAGGTTTACAAGTGCACCCAGCCAGATTGATGTCATCGATTGAATGGTAAATTAAAAAGCATTAGACGTCTGAATGTTGATCGGTGTAGTACAACATGAAATTTTATACAAGTATTCGACAAAGTGAGTTGTCAGTCCTGGCAGTTCTTCCAGGCGTAATTAATTTACAGCCTAACCTTTAATCACGACAATGATGTCTGGATCCAAGATTTCTTCTTTGTCAGGGCACCGGTCTAACTGTGAGGAGTGGAAAATGCCATCTCTTGAGCTAATGTCGTCAAGCCGAAACTCTTCTGTCGAAGAGTTCGCTTCAAAAAAGGCAATAATGTGGGCTCCTTCAAATCAGTTACTTTAGAAGTTTTACAAAGCTCGAAGCAGTAGTTACAATGACCTTGCTCGACCATGTATCAGCCTGGCAGTAGCCAAGAGCATTTCAGTGGAAAGAAATGACATAAATGAGCATGCATTCTGAAAAAAATTACATAGTTTTCTGTCGAATCCCTCGCGAAATTTTAACAAACATGAGCCGGAAATTCGAAGGCAAGGATATCCAAATGCTTGAAATAAGTGCACTTTTCCTTCATTCTGGCAATCTGATCAGGTGGTGGAGCTGTTTTCAAACTGGTGGGCGAAAGTTACGATCAACCTGGCGAGGTCAAAGCTTAGAACCTTGATTAATTGTATGACAGGATATTCGGACGCATAGTTAATTTGGCAAAAAAAAATTACATATATTCACGTAAGGCCTTATGTGAAAATACACAAGGCACTAGAAATACAGTATTAATTCCCATTGTAGACTGTAAAGGAATCGACCCATGTTAGACAGTTATTATGAGTTCCATTTGACCTCCTCTCGTAAATGAAATAGATACTACAGGAACCATTCTTGCCACTTTCGGGCAGCAAACTTGATGTCAACAGATACATGCCTGCACGATAGAATACAGATCTTTGTAAAGATCAAGTAGCTTCTTTCATGCATGTTGTTCACTATCAATAATTAGTCTGCTCCTGTGTCCTCTGGTTACGTTTGCGATTTTGGACTGTTATGCGCTAGCTGATCAAGTTATCACAGGACAGAACCTTGGACTTCAAGGAAATCGGCTTCATGAACATCACTCATAAATGAAAATCCAAGAAAGTTCATAATATTCTCTGTAGACGAACTCGTAACGAAGAAGCAGATGAACCATACGCTACTTACCACACCTTTGCGACCTTAGGTTTTGGAAGGAACTGTCTTCGAGATGAATAGACGTATACGAGGTGTATCGATCTCTGCTCGATAGAAGACGGTATCTTCTCAAATCTTGTAGAATCGTTGCACAAATACCAACTACACAGTGGTTTTCATTTCAAAATTGAACCAACTGGACTTTATTTTTAATTATTGCAAGATAATAATTTTACTTCACGTAATAGTAAAGAAAAAATATTTCGTTAATAATCTGAAGCAAATTTTATATATTATACATTAGTTTGATTTAAACAAAATTATATAATAAGAATTAGAATCATTAAAAAAATCTTCTATATTTAGAATTTATGTTTAATCTTACTGTTATAATTAAATCATTTTGTTTCTTCCTTCAGTGCTATCTTACAGGGAACAGTAAAAAAATTAAAATAAAATTTGGTTTCGAAAGTCATGCAAAGATCATAAAAACTCATTAATCTTTGTGTCATGAGAAATCAAGGAGAAAATTGTGATTTTATAGAAATGAACATATCGGAGATAAATTTCAAGGAGATGATTGATTTCTTTTACATTCATCTTTGTTTTATGAATCAAAATCATTTTCAAAAATGCATTATAACATATTATAATGTAAAATTCATAATTTAATGACAAATCCAAGATTGGTATTGAAAATTTTAATTGTTAATTATAGAAAGACTTTAAATTGTACTATTTAGATTTTTTTTTGAAATTTCAATGAATTTGAATCGGAAATATTTCTCTTGATTTAGTGTAACACATATATAAAACTTTAGACAATATCTTGACACAATAAAATATCAATCAATTTTTTATGAAGTATTGTGATAAAAAATTAGTTTAAAAATTTCTATGATTCATTTATTGAAAACTTGAATAGTCAACATATTCATTTTGTATTAAAATAAGTGAAAAAAGCAGCAATCCATCATTTAATGTGTGTGAGATTTTGAATACAATCATGGTTGAGATGGAAAAAAATGACCAAAAAAAAGATAAACATAAGAATAAACAAATTATGAAAGAAACAAAATTTGACTTCAAAATAGGAAAATAGAGAGTTCACAAACTTGAAAAATGAAAAATGGAAATTATTTTCAAATTTAATATAATCATACTTTATCTTTAAAATAGAGTCAAATCAAAAGAATTTAAGAAAATTAAAAACTAAGTCGATTATTTGTGTTGAGTAGAAAAGTCAAGTTAATAAGAGTTATATATAAAAAAATAAAGCAATGAATGTTTAGAATGTTTTATCAAAAGGATTACTAGAAATTTAATTGTTGCAGAAATCTTTATGAAATTTTATCTTACGGATAAATATTTTATTATATACACTAGATGGAAACAAATTTTCTCACAACAAAATATTTTAGTTTCATATAATTTTATGCAAAAAATCATTTCAAAAAAAATTTCAAATTTTAGATTGTATTGAAATTTCAAAAATAAGATTGTGACATTTGAAACTTAAATTAATTATTCATGAAACAATATTGAAAAATTTTGTGATTTTAAAATATTTTTCATGGATGAAAAAAAATATCGAATATTTCTTGAAACCTTTTGAAAGATTGGATATATTAAAAAGTTATGATTAAAAAATTCATTCATTGTAAATATTAAAATATAAATCATTCAATGGATGTCTAATGTTTATAAAATCACACATGGTGAATTATAAAAATTCAAGATTTACTTGGTAGAATGTCAATATTGTTGGAAAGACTTCAAATTTAAAAATATTCTGCACCATCAGAAAGACATGCATTAAGATTTGAAGTGAAGATTTGACAATCATTGATTTCAAATTTCCACAAAAAATATAAAAATTATGAAATTTCACAAAAAATAGCATAATTGTATGAAAATCATTAATGCTATGGATGTGAGATAATAAATGACATTTTTAGATTTTGCCAAACTTAATTAGGATCATAAAAAGTAAATTGAATGCAAAGACAATCTTTCAATAACAAGAAAGACAAGAGTAAAAAAAATATTTCGAAAATTAGTTTTGAAAGAAAAAATCATCAGCAAACTTGCATTGTAATCTTATTGATTTCATGAAGCAAACATAATTGAGATTGAAAAGAAACAATAATTTTGATATCATGGAAAGAGTGTGAAATCAAATCAATGGATTTTAACAAATGAGATGATGAAATTACAGAAGATGATATTTGTGATTGGTCTTATAGCAATAACATTGATATATCACAAATTGTTTTAATAGGATTCTTATTGATTTGATGAAGCACTTGAATAATTCTTTTTTTTGCCAATTCCAAAAAAATCAAAACGGAGTGTAGTATTTTTATATATATATATACATACACAACTCTACACATAGATACAAAGAATTGAAATGCTTATAATTCGCTTAGTTCAAAATGATATTTTACTCTAACATTATAAAAGTAAAAATACAATCGGAAGATAGATTGGATGAGAAAATTGTTTCTTAGAATAATTATGGAAATTATAATAATTATGGATTATAGTATCTTAAATTAAAAATTTTACTTTGATTAGATAGATAGACAAGTAGAGCATACATTTCAAAAAATGATGTATATTTTTTGGAATTTATAAATGACATTGATGTATCCAAACACAACTACTCAACTATATTTTATAAGGAATTTCATGACAACTTTTGATCTGGAAACAATTTAAGGTCAAATGTCTGGATATCCAATAAGAAAAGAGTTGCAATTCCTTGTGATCAGACAAAGGTAGCGAAATCTTCATAGACCATCACATCTAGCTCCCTGAATAGAGGTTATTGATCGATAACTGTAAGAAAATGCATTAAGAGGTTAAATTGCAATATTTATCAAACTTTGTGGAGAGATGCGAGAGAAGAATGAAGCTCTGATCACAAAGAGCACCCAAATTTGTACAATTGAAAGTTGAAACAGTCAACTCGTCCGATAGATCAATCTCACGCGAGTAAATGTCATCAGCTCTGAGGTTACTTACAAGAGTCAAATGGAGCTCTCAGTTGAACTTTTGCAGCTTCTGAGCCTGACTTCTGGCAGTATGCACTCATTCTCCAGCTTCTCCCAAGCTCAGAAGAACTCCACGTTCAGATAATATGGACCTTGACGATGCCAGATCATGCCATCTGATAGACAAGTCAACCATGGACATGCACGAATCTAGCCTAAGCTCATGATTCTCTTCATTATGTCCAGGATTCTGGAGCAAGTTTATATATTTATTCATGACCTCACATTTAGCTCATATGTGAGCCTCAAACATCCTCTAGAATGAAAACGAATCCTTGTCACCAAATGGACAAGAAAATGTTCA